TTATAAAACATTAAAAAGAGTTATTTTATTTGTTTTTTATAAAATATTTCATTTTATACAACATTTTTGAAAAACACACGTACGAATAAATACTTAATACTTATTTTATAGACCTCCAGTGGCATAGCGGTATGTCTGCGGACTTACAACGCTAGAATCCGGGTTTCGATACCCGTGGTGGGCAGAGCACAGATAGCCCATTGTGTAGCTTTGTGCTTAATTAAAACAAACAAACTATTTTATAGGACTTTGAATCAAAAGGATAACTTAACGTGCCTTAAATACAAATATTTTTCTTACTGTTATGGAAGAATATGTTTACAAGTAAAGGTTTATCGTAAACACAAAAATATTTTAACTAACGTCTTAGCGAATATATTTTAAAATAAAGAATTATTCACGTGATAAGCAAGCCATTTCTATAAAAGGTTCTGGGAATAATGTACATTTAAGAGACAGACGACTTTTCGCGAAAAGGAAGGGAGTGAGGCACTCGTCATGTTTGAGCAGTAAAATTTTAAGAATAAGAAACTGTAAACTGCTAACTTAAAATAGAAAGTAAAATTTAAAGTAACAGTTTTAGATGAAAGTATAGGAGTAATTAAATTACGTATTATTATGATTTTTTTTAACATGGTTAAAGTTAGATTTTAGTAAAATGCCAAACAAGTATGAACAGAGTAAGAATTTGTGCAGAATCGGTAGAGCGGTTAAGAAAGCCTCAAATGACAAAGAATTGGTATAGATTACGTCATAAGGGCTTTATGGGTGGTTAGCAGAACCATTGATTACAGGGAAGTTATGCTAAGTTGGTTACGAGGATAGTTAACAGAGCTATGAATTACACCAGTTTTATGCATACTGGTTTACGATGATGGTCACAGTCATAGATTAGAAAAAAGCAACGTACAGTGGGTTAGGAGGACGGTTACAGAACCACTGATTACTGAAAAGCCGTACAGGCTGAGTCACAAGAGTGGTTAGCAAAGCCATGGATAACACACAACTGTTTCTTTAGCATATTGAGGATTAGAAACAACGTTATTTTTAAGGCAAGTTTTTTCCAATATTATGCACAATAATTATGGTTATTGGATAAAAATGCTTTCTTTACGATAATCACAAAAATCAATCAGTTCTTAGAAGATTTGCCACAATAGTTTGTTTAAGAATGAGTCGTGGGTATCATTGTGGCTTTCGTAAAGTTTCGAAGAATTCACTTGTTTTCAAGAAAATAATATTAAATAGCCCAATTAAAGCGATTTAGTCCAACAAAAATGTTTTTAAATATTGGTGTTCTTTTGTTTTGGGCGTTCAATTAAAAACAAGCGCCTGAAAAGATGTGAGTATTGATTTACATAACTAGAAACCTAGAGAATTAGTATGTTTAAACAAAAGGAAGTGGATAAGACTCAATAAGTAGATTGAAATGTAAGGCAAAACAAAATTCCAACGAAAACAACAACAACAAACACCTTATTTAATTTCTGTAGTGCATATTGGCGTGTAGAAGATATATTAATAAAGTTATTATTTAAACCATTTGAAACTTTTTACTGTTAGTTTCGGTTTGTGTTTTAGTAAACGCTCCTGAAGAAGCTGTGAAGCGAGACGTTGAGTGTTTAATTAAATAAAAACAACATTTTTGTGTTAGAAGGTCGTTTATTTCCAGTATTAACAACAAACACCTGTATAATGTACAGGACTAAAACGTAAAGACGAATTTAAAATAAATATAAATGAAGTTTACACCATTGAAAAGTATGGACAAAAGAGTTATCTTGTATTAACTTCAGAACTTAGTATATTAATGAGTAGTTGTTTATATTTACAATTCTGAGCTACCACCTGAATATTAATATCATTTTAACCTTGTTATACGAAATTTACAGTGACTAGTGTTTGCGATTCCGATATTTACATACGTAAGACAGCCGTCAAGATAACAACAATATCAGGGAACTCAAAACACGTAGTGAAGTGTTAATTTACGGTCAGCATGTCGCCTAGCAACAGTTTTTCTTTCCCTTGTGTTTTCGTCGTTCAGCTGTTTGCGTCAGGACAGTTCTTGCTAAGGACGTCTCACTATCTTTTTTTTTATTGCCACAAAAGTCTTCAATCGCAAATTTATTGCTACTACAATATATTAGATTTTCAGGCTTCGTCAATCACATATTGCTTGCGCAAGATGTGCTTGGTCATTATCGACAAAATCTCTCTCTCCCAATGCTTTTATTTCGAGTTACTCAGGCAAGTCGAATAAGTCTATTATAAATAATCGTCTATCACGTGAACTCATTTATTTTTATACTATCCATACATGTTGCGTACTTCATTAAACCTTAAATACGTTTTTTAAACTAGCAGCTCTTTTTAGGCTACAGCTGTTACACGAAAGAATGAAAAATATATTCGCTGTTGTAAAGATAATTTGCTTCAGTTTTTTTTTTTTACTCTCCAAAATGCATTTCAACGCTTTTTTTACTTAAAGCTCAATGCCACTAAATATTAGTTAGTTCTTATTTCAAATATATTAAAACACGGTTCGTATCCTTGACATTTACTTGTTTCCATTTATAACTGAAACAGTTGCTGTTAAGATAGATGAATAAATTATTGCCTAAAGAAGTAGTTTTCAGTTTATTTTAATCACTGCGGTGGCTTTGAGTGAATAAAAATGAATAAATGAGAAGTTTGAATATCTAGCATCAAAACAGTGCTCAATGTTTTACCTGCTTTTCTTTAATAGATATAGTATTATTTTTACTTGTTTGCTGTCATGTGCGTGAATGCATTCCACTGATAGTGTTACTATGACAACCGTTCAATGCTTCTACACAAGAGCGTAATGGACTTTTTTGCGTGGGCGGATAACGCATACTTACACACTGAGTCTCGCTACCTGTAAATTTTAAATTTTGGGAAACGATATTTAAATATAACGGTTAAAGCCAGAACTAGCAGTTTTGAGGGGCAACATGTAGAAACTGTATAACAATTTAGAAATTACATCAAAACCTGGAAAACAGTTTGTAGAGCTATAATTGGGAATTATGTAACAATTATTTAACTTCTGTAGTGCATATTGATGCATAGAAGACATACTAATACTAAAAATTTAATTAAACACTCAACGTTTAGCTTTACAGCTTCTTCAGGAGCGTTCACTAAAACACAAACCAAATCTGACAGTACACAGCTTCAAATCAATATTATTTAAAGTGTTTAGAGCTCTCTATGCCTTATTCGAATATACACTATGGTTGACACGTATTAGGCTTCATATGTATTTTATTTCGAATATATTTTGTCGCAATCTTCTTAATTAGTCCACTGTAGTTTGTAAACAAGGAAAACGTAACGTTATTGCAAATATTAGGCATATGGTTTTCACTGTTTCTCCAACATCACTGTTTTCCACCACAATGTTATCGACGGTATTAGCAATCCAAAATTATTGTAGTTTGGTTACTAACAAGCTGTGACCTTTATTAACATCTACTGTACTTTCTCCAGTATTCGAAATAAAGAAGCCACCGGGCAAAACGTCTCTTCCTTTTCACCGAGGTAAAATTAAAAAACAAAATCATTATTTATTCTTAACGATAGTACTAACAAGATATAAATAATATAAATAATGGCGCATTTCATGAAAGGTCCCCACGCTACAGTAAACATTGGTTTTGAGATTGTGTAATTAGGGTTTTAAAGAGTATAGTGTTATTAGTATTCTGACTTGCAGTGTTTGCGGTTTTTTATAAGATTTTTAATTTGATATCATACATAATGAAATACGTACGAAGTTAAAAAAGACGGGAAGCCATTAAAAGAACCTATGTTTCGATTTTTACTAGGAACCTCAAATATTTAGTAACGGAGCTGGTACACATAAGGCGACGCTAACCCTAAAGTGTTAACCCCAGAAGCATTGACGGGATTCCACATAGGCTTTTCAAACACATGTTAAAAACTTTAGGAATGGCAATTTGTGAGCTCATAGTGGGCTCTAATAACACGTGGCACACAAAAAATACGAACAAAAGCATCGCTAGTACTGCATTTACTTAAACTGAATACTTGGGTTTCCGTAGAAAATAAGTTATTTCACTCATCCATTTTTTTTTCTTTGAGTGTTTTAAGAACTAAAAACATAAAAATATACAATAATGTGGACCACACCGATAGTGAACGACATATAAACAAGTCGGTCATTTGAGGGTTTAACAAATGTTTTTACTCATATTGGAATACGTACTATTCTGCACAGTCTTAAACTTTTATTAACTTAGGTTGTTATCATTACACAAATACTGAATTAGGGTTAGCGACTATATATATATATATACATACTTAAAACATACACTAGGGTTGGCGAAAGTTTTACTGATCCTTTTACACTTAAAAAATACACAAGGGTTAGCGAAAGTTTTATTGATCCTTTTATAGTGCTCCCCCAGTGGCACAGCGGTATGTCTGCGGACTTACAACGCTAGAAACCGGGTTTCGATACCTGTGGTGGGCAGAGCACAGGTAGCCCATTATGTAGCTTTGTGCTTAATTTCAAACAAACAAACCTTTTATACTATTAAACAATATATTAACATTCAAGTTTTTATTTATATTAATTTATTTGTTTGTAGTTAAGCAAAAAGTTACACAAAGGGCTATCCATCTGTGCTGTGTCCACCACGAATATAAAACCCGGTTCTTAGCGTATAAGTTTAATACTTGTAGCCGTGCCACTGGGGGACAATTACAATAATAACTGATCTAATAAGTCTAATAAGTCTCAAAGTTCAATTGGCACCAACGGCTCGTTATTGAAACAAAATCACGGCAGCCTGTTGGGGCACAGACCGTCGTAAATATTTATTTATATATTACAATTTATTTGTTTTTGCGAAATAAAAATATTCATGATAATTAGTTTTAGCAGAATAATAGTGTTTGAAACAAACTGAATTGCTACCACCAAAAACCGCTCTTTCTTTTAGCCTTACCTTTTCCTAAAGCATCTTTCTGACAAACAAGACCAGAATGACGTCAAACTGATGTCAGTATCAGAATCAAGTAACCAACCAAGTGTCAGACTACAAGTTATCTCATGACACCCGGATTTCTGTTTCCTATCTGACTTCTCGTGACCTTTTCTCACCTGCTGAGAAAACGGATAAAATCAGCTATAAATAATTCGATCTGTCGCTGCAAGAGCGTTACAGCCAATCTGTAAACATTTTGTGATATATGATATCACGTTTAATGAAAAATCTGAGAAGTAAAACAAAAAGATTCACAGAGAGTTTGACAAAAAGCAGACATTCACCTTCTTGAAACTGTACTCTTCAGACGCAGTGGTTAACTAATTTTACACCATACATTGTAAACCTCGTATAGTTTCAAGTATAAAGGTTGTTTTTTAGAGCAAAACTGAGCTATGTCTACCATATGGAATCGAACCTCGGATTTTAGCATTATAAGTCCATAAACTTACTCTGATTCACCAGAGGATGGCAGTGAAGGTTGATGTTATTTTTAGCGCAAAACTACACAATGAGCTACCTGCACTCTGTCCACGGCGGGAAATCCAACCCCGAATTTTAGCGTTTTAAGTCCTTAAACGTATAGTTGATTCATCAGGGGCAATCGTCAAGGATTAAGCGCATTCCCAGTGGATGATTTATCTTCTAGAAAGACTGACACTTCTTAGATGAGTAGATAAGTACGAATTGAAACCTGTATATATGTGAGAGAGAGTGTGTGTTATAGAAATCCATAAGCTGGAGAACGAAAATTATTTTTCTACGCATTATCCTAACTGAATTTTCAAAGATCTGTTTTTGGGGAGAAAAAAAGCGTACCTAGAACGTCTACAAATAATATATCGCATGCTACACCTCAGTGAAAAAAAATATAATATCTTAATGGTGTCTTAAATTAGATTATGACGCTGTGAACTAGGCTGAAGAGTAACTTTGTGAAATGGCCTCATCTAGAACCAGTTAATATTTCGGTAAACTTTACCATACTTGAAGTGGATTACTTTCTAAAAAAAATAGTTTGATAATAAGTAGGTTATATCCTTGTATTTTATTATCAGAACTCTTAATGTATCTGACAATTAAATGTTTCTTTGTAGTTAAGCACACAGCTATACATTAAGCTATCTATTGAGCACCACGGGTATCGAAACACGTTTTTTAAGCATTGTAAGCCTTCAGACTTACCGCTGTGCCACTGGGGGACTAATGTAATTACCATAAGAATTTTTTTTAAGATTATTAGATTTACATTGGAAGGGAGATATCTGTCTTATCGAGCTTATACCGATATGGTATGAATTTGTTTCTCTGAAGTATATTTTTATTGATCTAAAGATTTTTAGTTACCAGGAAAGGAAATAATACTGAAGAACCTTTTATTGATCTAAATATTTTTAGTTACAAGGAAACGAAAGAATACTGAAGTACGTTTAATTGATCTAAAGATTTTTAGTTACAAGGAAAGGAAATAATACTGAAGAACCTTTAATTGATCTAAAGATTTTTAGTTACAAGGAAAGGAAATAATACTGAAGTACTTTTTATTTATCTAAAGATTTTTAGTTACAAGGAAACGAAAGAATACTGAAGTACGTTTAATTGATCTAAAGATTTCTAGTTACAAGGAAAGGAAATAATACTGAAGTACTTTTTGTTAATCTAAAGATTTTTAGTTAAAGGAAAGGGAATAATACTGAAGTACTTTTTATTGATCTAAAGATTTTTAGTTACAAGGAAAGGAAATAATACTGAAGTACTTTTTATTTATCTAAAGATTTTTAGCTACAAGGAAAGGAAATAATACTGAAGTACTTTTTATTAATCTAAAGATTTTTAGTTACAAGGAAAGGAAAGAATACTGAAGTACTTTTTGTTGATTTAAAGATTTCTAGTTACAAGGAAAGGAAATAATACTGAAGTACTTTTTGTTAATCTAAAGATTTTTAGTTAAAGGAAAGGGAATAATACTGAAGTACTTTTATTGATCTAAAGATTTTTAGTTACAAGGAAAAGAAATAATAATGTTACACTTCGTTCGTTTGAACTTCCAACATTTGTTTTGAAAATTAGGCTACATTTTTTATGTTTTATTTCGTAGAGCTAACTCTCTCACAATGTTTGTCGAGAAAACGTGACTAGTTAACGGTATTTTGGGTTATGACTTAAACTGACTGTCATATAATACTTAACAATATAAAACATAGCTTACACTATTCTAGATTATGACCTAAAGCTGTCTCAAAGTACTTAATGTTACAAATCATAGCTAATCTATTCAAGGTTATGATTTGAGACTGTCTTACAATACTTAACATTATAAAACATAGCTGACAATACTCTAGAGCTTCACGAGTTGATCTAATTGTTAAAACATAGTGCAACTATGTTTATTTCCTGCTGTTGTTTAGACCCCAAAAGGTTTGTATACATCTTCGTTCAGTAGCCTATGTAGTTTAAACTTTATTGAAATAAAACATACCGTATTTAACATAATTATGGAAACGCGCAGTTGTTACACAGGGGTCACAAACAATGAGTAATCGCAACTAAATAATAAAGTTATTATTAGTGCAATTCATTAAAAAGATTGAGTGCGTTATATTTAAATAATTTTAGAGACTCACGACATTGTTACAGTCAGTGTCGTCAGGTCCAAGAATACTCTTTCTAAAGACCATCTTGATGGTCAGGCTTCTTCGTAAGGCTTTCATGTCCAAAGCACACAACTTCACCTTATATGCTCCTAATAATTTATCTAGCGTACGAGGACGACAGTTTCCGAGTGCCCGTTTCAACAGTAATATTACACAGAAATCCATAAACTCTATGTTCGACAACTTGACTGATATGTCTTTACATGTAATAGCATGAATATCCATTTGATTCTTCAGCTGCTTGAGGTATGTGAAAGTTGAACAAATGTGTCGTGGAAGCAGCTTTGTACACGGGACTTGTGTCGGTTTTCCAGACAGAGATCCTTCATGATTATGTTATGCATTATTGCCTCGAGCGCGAGGGCGACTTATGTCACCGACCCTTGTGTTTGTGGATTCTCACTCGATATAAAATAGCTGTGGAATAGCATTTATCCAAACTATATTTTTTAATTGCTTAGCCTTATAAATAGTGTAATAAACCAAAAATTGGTAGCAACACTTATCAATGCTCAAATATTCATACACTCGGATATGTGTTCAGATTGGTTACTTAGAATTTCCAAGATAGCGATATCCCTTGCACTTAATGCCTTTAGAAAACAAAGGAATATGGATCAACCTGGGGACCAGCATCATCCAGAAACAGACCTGCAACAAGTCAGTCATGGTAACAACTGTGATTGTGAAGTGAGCTTTTAAGTTGCATATTCAATATCGTTTCAATATAACTTACTCAACTCTTTGTATTAAAGAAAATACGAAAGAGAAGTAAATAAGTTGCACAGTGCACTTATTTTGTATTTGCTACCATAGGTTTATCAATGTACGATTATAAGATATTGTTCTAAATGTCAATGTTCAGACAAGTTGTTTGGTTGCCATATAAGCTTGTAAAAAACTTAAAATGTTTCATATCACGACTTTGTGTAGGTAAAGTTATGGTTTTGGAATGCTCAACTGGCCTCTATTTTTCCGACCCGATATATTTTCATCACATTTGCTGTATGCTTGGGATCAATGTTTACTAGAATAAGGTCTTGATCGATCAGAATATGTTATACCAGTCAGTAGTCAGGATGCTATCAATTACATTTAGATCTTTAATACCATTGCTTGAGATCCAGCCCACGAATACATTAGTCGCCTTTGTATGTTTCCCTTTAGGCTTTAGATGTTATACATTAATTATGAAACTGTTTTCCTTTCTATCGTGGATTGTTGCCGAACAATTTGAATTTGGATTCATTTATAAACAGCTCCCACCTCCAGCATTGATCGTTGCATTGTTTAAAGTGTGATATCCATATTAGCATTTTAGTTTGACTGCTTCTCTTACTCAATGGTTTTTGAGCAGCTAAACGTTTAACGAAGACATTTATTGTTCTGGAGGTAATATTTACACCTGTACTTACAGCTGGTTCAATGACAAGATATCCACTGGAGTGTCGTGTGTCTCCGAGTTACCTGACATTACTTTTGAGATTTGAGTTTTTATACTTCAACCACTTCTATTATCAACAACACTACTTACACGCTCCTTCAGATGTTTCATACAGTGCTACTGAAATATGAAATTTCGCTTTAATATGTAGTACGGAGTAGCATTCATCAGCCAAATAACATTTATCTTCTGTTTGTAGACTAAGCCATGTCTTTGTTGATACGAAGAACCAAATGTAATTGGCACATAATCATGCTTTTCTACATAATAAATGTCAGAAATATATCTTTCTTTGCACGTTTTAATTTTGAAATCTCCTATGCGTGGACTTAAAAACAGTTCGGGTTATTGTAATGGATACTGCAGACTAGTGGCTTATGTATAGAATGGTCTATTATAAGCACAGGGTTCCGAATTTATATACTACAGTTGTGTCTTAGTGTGATGCCAGTTGATAAAGGAGACGTTCATCACAGAAATATTTTGAACATAACACTTTTCATTCTGTTTTACATAAGGATTAGGAAAGAGACTGGAGTGATGTTTGGTTTGAATTTTATTTTCAAATTTCTTTATTACATCCACATGAAAAGAATTATGCGTTATTAAATGTAGGGAAACTGTAAAGATTTCACGCAATATTGAATAAATAAGCAGGCACTTAAGTTAAAACTGTTAAGTTACTTAATAATTAGAACTATTGTTTCCAGACGAGAGTTAAAACAAAATGGAATAAATAAAAGTTCAGATTTAATTTGTATGAGTTAAAAACATACATATGGCTAAAAGCGCATTGTAGGTTTGTTTGTTTGTTTTTGGAATTTCGCGCAAAGCTACACGAGGGCTATCTGCGCTAGCCGTCCCTAATTTAGCGGTGT